TTTCTGCCTCAAGACAAGGCAGTAATTTCTGCACAGATGGCACTTTCTTTTCTTTGATGTAAAAGTCTTGTATTGTCTGCCGTATAACGCATTTGTCAAAATCGTCGATTTCGGACTTATGATTAGCAGGGCTTTTACGTTTCTTTCCAAGCGTATTTAGAAGTTTATTTTCAACCATTGTTGATACCTCACGCTTAATTTTTTTAATTGTATACTCTGATACTCCAATAGCTTGCGATGTTCTCTTCAAAACTTGAGGAAGAGGATCTACTAAAGAGTTCGCCGAAGCTTCAGAAGCGCAAAATTCTGTGACATTGTACACGATTTGACGTGCCTGAGACTTTAAAGGTTGACCTTTCTTAAACTGGAAGGGCATTTAAAAAAAATTGGCGATTAACAAAGCGCTACGAATATCAAGCTAAATAGAAGCAAATTTGAACAAATACGAGTACAAAAGATATAACAACGAGAATAAAAATAGCTAATAGTAATAATTGACTTGCTGGAATGAAACCGAGAAGACGAATGATAAACTCTTTTCCCTTCAGTCAACAGTCGCCAAAAACAAAATAACAATTAAGCAACTCTTGGTTCGTCTCTATTTGAAATATACTAGCCCTGTTGCTATAGCGACCGCCACCCGCCAGACACCGTGGCGGGACTGTTCTTACCGTAGACAGACAGTAGATGCCGTAGCAGCACTATTTATGTTAAGGGAGAGTTGTGAGGTCTGTAATTTTATCAGCTACAACTGCGAGTTTTGGGAGATCATCACTTTTAAGGCAGCAAGAATACTCTGTATATTTTGCGGGAGACGGGATATCCATAGAGATTTCAACAAGGGTTCTCCAGCGACGTTTCGCATACGGCAAAGTAATTGGGAAGGGCGTTGATCACTAAGTTCTAGCCTCTGAAGAAGTGTACGGATCATTGACTCCTCACTTTCAGAATGCAATTCAATTAAGCGTGTTTTTAGTGCATCGTATTTGCCAGTCTCTGGTGGGTGCAAAACGATATCACAAACGCTATTTAGAATATCGGATTCGATTGCAGATATCACACGATTGAACTTCGTGGAGTCAACAGTGATTCTGGCGATATCAAACTGGGCCTCCAGTTGTGCAAACCATAAAGTGGGATTGACCTTCCAAAATGGGTAAGGCTTGACAAAAACACGTGAGATATTAAGATCGTCTTCGACGGTTTGTGGTGGAGCCATGATTCACAAAAACATATATATATATTGCCAAATGTGAGATAAATAAATACACAAAAATCAGTCACTAATAAGTTCACATACGATACTAGTGCAAAATAAATAAAGTTAATGCAAGCATTAAAGTGAGAAAAACACTTTTTGTAGGTGTGCTATCCGAATATAAGCATAAGTTTTAAAGTACTACCAACTAAGAATTTGCGTGGCCTACCTCCGAATTATACGAGATATGTTTGCACAGTCAGCGGCAGATTCAGCATAACACAATTCTCTTATATAAAAATATTCCGAAAAACTTATTTTGTGATATGTAACCCGTTGTAGGCTATATATGTAAATCATTTCTAAGCACTTTGACGTTTTGCATGAGGCACATTCTAAAACACGTTGTTAAGGAGACACAACTGATTTTCACACTATTTTGACGATAACACAAAAATAATGATGGATTACGATACTCGTTTGCGTTAACAGACGATATTTTCACTTCATAGCACTTTATGAGCACAGATATTGACGATGCAAGCAGGTTCCAGGAGGCACGTGTTCACTAACTTGCCGGGTCATCATTTATGGCTTTCGTTTATGGATGACATTTTTGGTGGCGTGTGTAGTTGCTGTAGATAAAACGATGATAGCTTAGCTCGATGATTTTTAACATTTTTATTTAACACTAGAAAAAGGTATATATTTTAACATACGTTCACCGATACACAGTCACATTGATTGCAGTTCACACGATAAGCATTTTTATAGTAAGCAAGTTCACGTAGGTGAAAAATCATGAAAGTGAAGCGGAAGAGAGGTGAGCGCGTGCTTCACCGACGGCAGCCACGAACAGAGTAACCAAAGAATGTAAGAAATTCTTTGGAGTAACTATGAGCAAAGAATCTCTAAGGAGAAGAATGAAAGCTTCCATAGACGCAATGTAAACCTGTTTCGCCTCTGCGCCGCTGTACCGAAGAGCCACGGCTATGCAGTGAAACACCAGCGCAGGGTGAAATTTAAACAGCGCAGTTCGAGGAGATAGTAAATTTTTTACTTTGAAATAACTCAAGTTTTATTTTCATACATTTCTGGAGTTTTATGAGCAAAAGGATGTTAGTTGGAATTTTGGGCGAAATATACAAATCCTGTCCAATTTTTACTTTGAATTTAAACAGCGAGCATACGAAGACAAATTTAAATGAAATAAATTTCTTAATTCTTTTCTTCTGTAAACTTAAAAAGGGGGGAAAACACATGCCATACAAAACGTAATAAATTTTTATGAATTCATAGTTAAAATTTTACAGTGAAATTTTAAAAGCATAATTTGCAATAATTAACTGAAACAGAAAAAATAATTAAAGGCAATTAAAGGCACCCCTAAATAAATTGAAAACACTGAAATACATTATAATTATCCGACAACAACTTTGAAAACAAATTACCATGAAAGCTTTTAGACAATTATTTGGAATTACCATTGTGAAAACCAAGAGCAAAGTTTTCACCCAATACCCAAAACCATTTCACTTACAGCATTACATTTAAAAAGTCTTTAAAAGAATTTCACATAACTAAAACCAAGTATCTCTGACTACAACAACAAACAACCTTTTCGAACAACGTGGTAAAGATTTTAATATGGCCGACGGCATGCTGCTTTGTTGCCTCCTGATGTTATTTCGCACATGCGCAGTGAGGTACGGAGAGTGGATAGCTTTGGGATCGTTTGCCCCTTTAAAGTAAGCTTCAGGGATATACATAATGTGTCTCTTCGGTCTGACGGAGCCACATTTGCCTCGGGGAACCTTTACTTCTTCTCCTTAGAGATTCTTTGCTATGAGTGAATTACTACAGTCTCAAATCCCAACCAGATCCTTTTGATCTTTGCCGCCTGGTACAGTCTACTAAAAAGAGCGGGTGTGGAAGAAATATTGCCGAGGTGGGTTTAACCAATGGGCGATCGAGTTGGAGACAATTCAAACAGGTTCATTCCTCTCTCTGTACGTACCTTTATTGAGTGAGGTTGGAGCGGTGAACTTTGAGTATTTGGGATTCTATATTTTCAGGTATTTGTAGTATCAAAATCATCGTTTTCTTTTCGTAATTTAAGATTTTTTTGCTTCTTTAAATTATTTAGGCCCACCAGCGGCCGAGCGATAAAGTCGCTGAACACTGGTAGTTCGGTCCGAGGTTCGAATCCCGCGAACGGGCTGGCTGTATGGGCGTTTTCGTGGTTTTCCCCATGTGTAACGTGTATACGAACCAGTTTCCCTTAGAAAGTCCTCCACGAAGGCATCCCTCCTCTTAGGCAGATAGCCCTCGAGGCTTTGCCATAATCACACACACAATTTATTTAACAGATTTACTATGTTCTTTTCAAATTTAATTTTCTGTTGATTAGTATTTCAGAAACAGTTGAATCAAATATTACTGTTGTTCTTTATTGATTTTGAGTACCAATTTGTTTTTGTAGAATAAACGGAGAAAGTATATTTTGCTGTGTTCTTAAGCTTGGTATTCCAAAAATAAATAAGTATAGCTGTTTTTTTAGGTGTAATAATTTTAGCTTTGTAATAATTTAATTTTTTTAAAGCAATTCTAAACGTATTAAATATTATTGCTCTTTTTCTCTGCTATTAGGGTATTAAGTGCCATTTATGAAGCTTATATATTGAATATTGTTTTTATTCTTTGTTAGTTACTTGGTGTCATTAAAGTATTCCAAAAATAAATAAGCATAGCTGGCTTTTTAGGTGTAATAATTTTAGTTTTAAATTTCTACTAAGAGTGCCATTTTTACTTTTCGGATAACAGGCGTTTCAGAACAAATTGATTATTAATGTTTTTTTATATGTAATAACTTTGGTTTTGTGGTAGCTACTTTGAGTATCAGTTTTAGTTTTCATAGAGACTCATGTAGAACTGAAAAGCATTCTTTTGCAAAACTGTTTTTGAAGCATGGTTTAATTTTTGTGCATTTCAGAACTAATACAGAGTTACTTATATTTTTTTATAAAAACTCTGATGAAACAGTGTGAAATAATTAGTTCATATATTAAGTATCTGTCGTTTTGTTCGATACCACAATTTTATCTGTGATGAACTAAACCTTTTATTTACTTATTTTGACACATTTTAAAAAGGTCTTTGTTATATTTGGTTTTTAATGCCCTACTTACATCATCCAGTACTACAAATTTTGTTTTTAATAATGCTTATTTTCAATTTTTCTTTTACTTCTCCTGTAATTTTTCTCTTTCAGGAATGTTCTAATATGCTTAAATAATAATAGATGTGTCAGTGTTCCTACCAATATAAATTTTTAACTTAAGTATTATATGTATGTATTTATACTTAAGATTCTTTTAAGCATTCTTGCATAATGAAATTTTCAAGAATTTCGCTTTGATGTTTGATAATCTTTTACTTACAGTTATTTATTTACACGTGCTCACTTCCAACATTTTAAAATATTTTATCACCTAAACTTTAAATAAGTGTTTATCTAAATCGTAAAAGTATTTAACGATTGTTCTGAGAAGATATTTGCCGTATAATAATCAATAAAGTATCTTAAAATATATATAAATAATTTTGTGCAGTATTCAAATTTAGGCTGTGTAATTAACATGGAAAAACATGTACAGAAAATAAAGTTAATCATGAGACTAAATGTTTTTTGTGATGATTGCCTGTGATTCAGCTTGGTGGAAATTGTCATCAAATTGTCCTTGACAGGCCTTTTTGTTGATAATGACTTCCCAGCTTATCAGTGTTCAACTCAATAAAGAATATGTAACATTCAATAAAGTTAAAAACTGCATTTTTTTTTGGAGTGAATGTTGAAGTAGTACTGTATTTCACTGCAACGCAATTTTTATGTATAATCTGTAGGTTACATTGTTTTATTTTATATTGCGAATGTGTGTTATTTTTCTACCTTGGAGAAGTCCTTAATCTGGTCTGCATCTATTCAATGGCTAAAATACAAAATAATAAATAGAGTGAGTATCTTGAACAACTCCATATACTTTCTCTTCCCAGGGGCCCATTAGTGAAGTCATTGAACACTGATAGTTTGATTCTAGGTGAACGGGCTGGCTGCACGAGGGTTTATGTGGTTTCTATCTGCAACATGGATATGAGCCAGTCTTCCGTGAAGGCATCCCTCCGTTAGGCAGATAGCCCTCACATACTTTTCCATAATCAATAATACCAAACCAAAAAAGGTTCGATTTCAAGAATATAAATTTCTGTAACATTTTGGAATAACTTATTATATTATGTAACTATCTGTTCATGCACAGGTCATTTAATATGTATCTGAAAGCTGGTGATAATGATTTAAATGAGAGGCTGCGAAAGGTAAAAATTTCAGATAGACAACTTCAGCAGTAGCCTATATACAGGAGAAGCGTTTTACAAAGACAGAGAAGAATTGTGTTTAAATAGGAAAATCGGAAATTATATTAACTCACAAAGTAACCGAATAGCAAATGGTTACACATTCAGTGAAATAAGCATTGTATTTATATTATTTGTTTCCTGATAAGTTTTCATGGATTTGTTTTTTATTATTCAAATTGCAAGCATGCTAACTGCAAAAGACCTAGAATATTTGGTACTTCGTAATTTTCCGTCATGCAGATACACATAGTATTTTTCTGTTATTCACTGCCATGCCAAAATGCATGGCAGACGTATAATGGAAAAGTACTGAATGTTTAAATTCCCCTATGCACATACGAAATGCTTGAAAATGGAAAGGTGTTCTTCATTTTGCATTCCTTGTGATGCTCTAGATATTGTTTAGGTCCAAATGTCAACTGTTTAGAAGAAAATAAGTTTCATGCAATTCTACTGAAAAGAGAAATGATAATTCATAAAATATTAATTATACAAAAATTTGTCAATTTAGTTGGAAATCTTTCACCTCAAAGCAGTCTTTCTCTTAATTTCAATACTTAGTAGTGCAAAGATAAATTCTTGAAACACTGACATTAATGATCGCA